AAAAAAATAGTTTATATTTAGCGTATTTTAGGGAAAAAATAGTTTATATTTGTCCAACCATACATAGCAAGTTTTAGTTTTAGGATATTTAGCGTGTTTTTTTTCTAAGAAGATTATTGTTAATCGTAAAAATATTTTGTAATATTATTTAGGAATGAGCATCTCAATAAAATACCAAAGTTGGAAACCACATATCACATGATGTCTATAATTAGTTCTTAAATATATAAGTCGATTTTTAATATTAGGGATTATTACACAACTAAATAAGTGTATTTAATCGTTTAATAGTATTGTTTTGGTAAGACCAAGTTGTCAAACTCTAGATGTACATGTATGATTCAGTTCAGAAATCTGATTATCAGTTAAACTAAGTAAATTACACGAATTGTCCCTATGGTTTAGGGTAATTTGCACGTTTGGTCCCTAATTTATTTTTTTAACTCGGAAGGTCCTTACTGTTTGTTTTTGTTACACGTTTGGTCCTTGTCTTACCTAAAAAAATTATTTTCCCCTTGATTGTTTAATTTATTTAAATAAACACATCCCAACCCCACCTCTTTTACCTTACCTTACCTACCCCAACATTTTTCCTTATTTAAATAATAGTCTTTTTAGGTAAGACAGAGACCACTCGCATAACAAAAAAAAAAGTAGGGACCAAACGCGTAACAAAAACAAACAATATGGACTTTCCGAGTTAAAAAAATAAGTTAGGGACCAAACGTGAAAATTACCACAAACCATAGGGACCATTCATGTAATTTACTCTTAAACTATAGACAATAAAGTAAAATGGGGAAAATTTAATTAACTAAGAAACTAAGAACAAGAACAAAGGAAAATAAAAGCTAAAGAAAACTTATTCGAAAACAGATAAATAAATGTACTTTTACTTAGGCTTGAACACTCTTCATATACGGTTGATAGTTATGTCGTGCAATGGATATTAATTGTTATCAACCGATTCCTAACATGGTTAAGCCTCTTGGTCTGATTCTAACCCCTAATGATGTTAAGGGCATTAACTCAATGATCATGATATTAATTAATCCCTATTATCAATTTTTTGTTCATATCATGCAAGATTTGATCTTTAATTAATCTCAATGGTCATAAAAATCAACTAATGCACATCATAGGCATCTAATGCAATTCACACACATTAAAGTTAATTACTTTATCAATATAACCCAAAGATTTGGTCAATCACCATCATAATTATCGATTGTCATTATCAACTATGATTCAAGCAAACACAATCAGATTGGTCATTTAGACTATATTACTCATCAAAAGACAATAAAGATAGAAACTTTAACACATATGGATCTTTGATCAAACAAGCATAATAAATTAAATAACTCAAACTATCCAAATAGAAATCAAAGAAAATATTAAAGGTTCATCTACATCTAATCAAAAGAAAAAGAGTTTTTAGCCCAAAATCTGTTTTTTTTAAACAACTCTAATTACCAACCAAAAACCCGACAAGAAACTAGAACAAACACAAAAATAGAAAGGTTCATCTACATGTAATGAAAAGAAAAATAGTTTTTAGCCTAAATCTGGAATGGAAAACAGGAAGGAATCATCATAGAATGCTAAATTTACACATTGAACCAAACCTATTGACATCGCTAATGATTCTGCACCCTATTCTTCATATCCTTGCTCCTAGTCAGCCATCCGGCCTTCAAATCGCCTAATGGACTCTCAAAATGGCACCTTTGATATGTATCCTCATATATTCTCTAAGATATCCCTCTTAGGCCAAAGGGTAAAGACTATTTATAGATTTTCTAAACCAACAGAAAACGTGGCACATAATGTTGTTAGACGCACCATGTAAATTCAATACTTTTGTGACAAGTAAGGATCTTCAAGATTCTGCGTATAACACAAATTAATCTGATCAACACATCGTGTATGGAAGATGCACGCAATGTATAGTTGCTTGATTGAGCCCTTTGTCAACTTCATTATTCCTACTCAATATCCAGCTCCATTTTGCTTCCTTTTTGTCCTACAACTTTATTTTGTTGCAAAATTGCAATTCCAAGCATTATAAGTAGGGAAATGTCCAATAAAGTCCCAATATTTTGGGGGGAAATTTGTGAAATGACCAAAAAAGTGGGGGTGTTTGAAAAAAATGACCAATAAAATGTATGTTTCAGAAAATGACCATGAGTTCCGCAAAGATGGTCTCTGCGGAACTCCTTCAGTTCCGAGGAAGTGATGTGGCATTGGTAAATTTGTAAAAACACAAAAAAAAACTTAACAAAATTGAAAAAATTGTCTTACAAATGTAGTTTTATAGTTTAATTTGTTATATATTGAATCAATGGTATGTGAGAAATGGTGAACCATCGTTAAATTAACAAAAAAACATTTACCAAAATCGTTTTTTGGCCATGGTTATGTGAAAAACAATTCCTCAGAGGCATGTGTTTGAAGAACAATTCCTCAGACCCTCTGAGGAATTGTAATTGTTCTTCAAACATATGCCTCTGAGGAATTGTTCTTCAAACACATGCCTTTGAGGAATTGTTATTCGCAAATTCATGGCCAAAAAATGATTTTGGTAAGTTTTTTCGATTTAAACACAATTTATTCGATTTTGGTAAGTTCAAACACAATTTTTTCAATTTCAAACACAATTTTTTCGCAGCACCCTTTCAATTTTGTTAAGTTTTATTTGTGTTTTTATAAATATACCCCTATCACGTCACTTGCTCAGAACTTTTCCAATTCCTCAGAGCTGAAAGAGTTCTGCAGAGACCCTCTCTGCGGAACTCGTGATCATTTTCTGAAACATCCATTTTCTTGGTATTTTTTTTCAAACACCCCCACTTTTTTGGTCATTTCACAAATTTTCCCTATTGTGGGCCAGATTACGGTTTAATCCCAAATTATTATTATTTTTTTTACAAAAAAGACAGACTACCAGTTAAAACTTCGGAATAATTGTTTTTTGCCGGTTTCATAAATTTAGTCAGTATCCCGCATTTTTTTTGTTAATTGGTCAACATATTGGGACTTTTCTAAAAATTACGTTATTTTCTACCAATAACCAAAACTAGTTTAAGGGCAATCTTTAAAAAAGTCTCAATATTTTGGTTATTGGTAAAAGATAACGTAATAATATAGATTAGCTCAAGGATAATCTTCAGAAAAGTCTTAATAGTTTGGTTATTGGTAAAAAAAATAACATAATCCTTAGAAAAGTTCTAATATTTTGACAAATTAACGAAAAAAGACGGAATGCTGACTAAATTTGTGAAACTGGACGAAAAATGTTATTTTGAAGTTTTAGCCGGTAATCTGTCTTTTTTTTTTTATAAACAAATATTAATTTGAGATTAAACCGTAAACTGACATAACATATTGAAACTTTATTTAAGATTTCCCTTATAAGTATCATTTATCTTCAATACATCTTAAAACATTAAGATATTTAAAAAATATATATGTATAATAATAAATAAATAATAAATACAAATAATATTGTTAATAATTGTAATAATAACAAAGATTTATCTAAAAAATAAGAACAAAATTAGAAACATGGTGATTTTATTGAAAAAAATAATGTTTGAAAGCATAAAGATATTTTTCAAATATTTCTCAAACTTAAGTTATCTACATTAATGCAATGTCATTTTTTAAAACATATTGTCAGATTTTATAACTTTATCGGGGGAAATTACTACTTATAGACATTTTTTTTGGGAGGGGGGGGGGATTTCAAAAAAATAGACACAAAAAGTCAAATTTCCAGGTATATACATGGATTCCACGGAGGTGAACTCCGAGGGCTCCGCAGAATCAACTTATTCTCCGAGGAATCGATGTGGCAAAAAAAAATCTCAAGTTCCATTCCGCGGAGCTACCTCTGAGGAATGAAGTCATTCCGTGGAGGTAGCTCCGAGGAATGGCTCTTCAGGAAAAAAAATTCACCTCTAATGATTCTTTTATGTAAAGATCTCCGATTAAAAGATTAATTTTTTTCCACCTCACATTCATTCCAAACATTGTCAAGAAAAATTCATACTATCATAATCTTTTCTTGAAAATAATTAGTTGGGGAATGAGTATAAACCCCGAAGAATCGATGTGAAAAAAAAAATATAAAAAATCTGAAGAGATGGTGGTTGATCGTAATTTCCTGGGGCTCTTCTTCAGAGATCAAACACAAACACCCGGGCTTCACTGAAAATATTAGAGAGAATAGATTGAAGAGATGTTTAGAATAAGGGGGGTGGATGAGATGTTACAGACAGGGGCTCTTGTTACTGGTTCATTGGATGCTGGAAATGTTAAGGTCGACAGTGATAAGGAGGTCGTCGGACCTGTTTTAGTCGGAGAGAGAGAGAGAGAGAGTGTGTGTGTAAAACAGAGATAGGGAGAGAAAGAGGGAGGGGGTATGGTGGATGTGGTGGGTTGGGTATATAATTCTTTTGATTTTATTATTATTTTTAAATTAAAATAGTGTTAAAATAAATATAGAAAATATAAAATAGAAATTAAAAAGGCATAATAGTCTTTTCAAAATTTTCAAGACCAGAATCACGAAAAATTTCTGATTTTGAACATTTAATACAAATTGGAAACCTTTTGAACCATATCTACAGTTTTTACGAAACCAGAAAGACCAATTTTACAGTCTTACAATTTATTATACATCTTAATTATTTATAATCAATAATTATTCAATAGTAAACTAAAATAAAAATCATTATTTTATTTGTAAATATATATTATATATATAATATATAATAACCAAATACAAAAAGTTTATATTTAATTTAATTTAAATAGTTTAACTTAATTTGTTTTATTAAAATAGTGGCTGTATATATTGTAGATAGGGAACCTATTTAAGGCTTTGAAAAATGAAAAATGAAAACCAAAACCTTTCCCTGTATGCAAAAGAAAGGATCTTACTTTTGAAAGTCTTTTAAAGAGCCGATGGAGATGCTCTAGAACAAACGAGACATTGATAGATGAAAGATATCCATACACCGATGCACACGTGTACGGTCGACAGCCACTCTGTTCATCCCTCTTGCTCTATAAATTGAGCTCAATAATCACACCATTAGACCCACCAAGCTTTAAGCGAATTCGATCAAAACACATTAATCATCAATCTCTTCGAATCAACTCCAAACCCTCCGGATCGATCATGTCTTGCTGCAGCGGAAAGTGCGGATGTGGCTCAAGCTGCTCTTGCGGCAGCAGCTGCAACGGGTAATTACTTTTCTTCAATTCTTTTACGCGATTTAGCTAGAGAAAAACAGTATATATCATCTCTGGTATCAAATTTTTCGTGTTTTAATGGAGTATTAATATGAACTTTCTGGAACCTTGAGAAAAAAATAATCAACAGAAACTGAACTTTTGTTTGCAGATGCGGGATGTATCCTAACATCGAGACCTCCACTACTGCCACCGTGATGATCGTCGACGGTGTTGCACCAAAGAAGATGTAAGTAGCACATCTCTCATGATCTACAGCTTCAATATGTTCTTAATTAGTCGTGAGAATTATCAATATCAACATATATATAAGATTGTGTTAGTTTAAGCTGATTGAGGTTTGAATCATGTGAATGTGAAGGTATGATGATGGAAGTGAAGGAAGCTTTGTAGCTGAAGGTGCACAAGGGTGCAAGTGTGGAGGAAACTGCAAGTGTGATCCTTGCAACTGTTAAGGCTCATCGACCCAAATAAACATCCATCTTTCAGTTCATGTGTTGTATGTCTCCATGTTTCTCATACTGTAGTGAGAAATAAAATAATATCCCAACACATATTGGTCTATTGAACTACTATGAGTAATTGAGAATTATATATATGCAATGATTCTGTATGAAAGAAGAATTAACATGTATGAAATATATGATCATGATCTGATAATCTCTTTACTTGTTTTAATCAAAAGTTTGTGTTGGTTCGGGTTCAAATTTTTGGTTTATCAAATATATGAATATCATAAAATGACTTTATATTTTGAAATTTGGATTTTGCAAAGTTATTTATTGCTAAACAGATAATTTCGTTGAAAAAAAAATAGGAATCTTTTAGGAAACTATTGTAAGGATCACTAGTAAAGCAATTTGATAAGAAACTGTCATTTTGTAATGTTCAATGTACCAAAAATAGATGGTCATATTAGTCGTTACCTAGTAAAATTAAAATAAGTCAAGTAATTTCATGATTACTTAGAATATTATATATAATATATATATATCTAATATATATTATTATAATTGAAATTATATATCTATTATAGATATATATATATTATATATATATATATATATATATATATATATATATATATATATATAATTTCAATTATGGATATCATAACCCTAAACACCATATATAGTCAAATTAATTTAGCTTTGAACAAAAGAGTGTCTAGCTTCATAGGCCGTAGCATATCCAAAAATCATTTTGATGCGTTTTCTGATATCAAATACTAAATATGGATTATAGCTTAATGGTATCAAGATATTCAGATATTGTTAAGATGTTCTCAAAAGGTTCCAGTTTGATCAAAAGATGTAAAATATTAGTTGTTAAAAGTGTTTGTGTGAGCCGTTATTCTAAAACAAGTAAATTCTCAAATAATTGAAGTTTGCAATTTTTGTCTTCTTGTCCAATAACAGAGACGAAGGTTTTGGATATTTTAGCGAGTGTGTTTCTCTATGGAAATACTTGTATATTAGTATGCATCAGATCTTTGAATGAGAATAATTTTCTATTAGTTGTTGCTTACCTCATACTTTTTATAAGATATTGAAACCATATCCAAGATGCCAAGTTTTTAGTCATGTGATGATCAAACTTTATAATAATTGACTATAAACAAAACTCTAGCAGATATTTTTGTTCCATTCATGATTGATCTATATTCTAAAATAGTGGCTAGAAAAATGTCAAAAAGATTGAATTAAAAACAAAAAAAAAATATCTTATCTCTATTTTAGTGGGTAGGAAGATGTCGATACTCGATATGATTTATCTACTTTTATTCTATTGATAAAGGGAGGTGGTGACCAAAGAATTAACAACATAAAAACATGAACCTTCCTCATTTATTAGAAGGCATGTATCATCATAAATAATGTAACATGAGATACATTTTACCAAAAGATTAGAAGAAGGTATCTGAAATTGTGTCATCAACAAACACTTGCAATTAAAACACAAACTATGTAAGATATTTGATGATCTCTACACCAGTTGCAACTGCACCTCCTGTGATGGCATCCATCACAACTTTCTCACCTTTGCTGTTGGTCACTGCCGACACGATTGCTCCAGTCACCGCTCCAGCAACCATTGCATTTTTCTATATATCATTTTTTTTTTAAAAAAAAAAAAAAAAAAACAATTTAGATGAAAAAATCTTTGAGAAAAAGACAAATGTTTTATGTAACACCACATAAATTATAAAATGATTACCCAGTCTCTAGTGCCACGGACTCTTTCAACACCATACTCCATTCCCACGTAAAGTCCAGCAACAGCTCCTGTTAAGGAAAGTAAAGGAATCTAAGTATTTTTCTATTTCAGGCTACAATATAAAGGAGATAGATGCTCTAAATAACTATACGATAATTACGAAAACAAGATTCTTTTAAATCGTACCCCAGTATGCGCCTTCTTTACACATCTTCTTCAACTGCAATATTAATAATGGCTGTTTAGAGTTCTCATTTTCACTAGATTTTTATATAATTTGGGAGCCACAAAAGCATAAAGAAAAAGAACAATTATCTTATGGATAAGTGACTAAATTTGCAAGTAGTTAATGATTAATAATTCAAAACAAAATATGATGTATAGAGATCTTAGTATCTCACCGAGTCCTCAAGGTTATGTTTTGAAAGACTCCCTGAAAAACGAACATCAAGAAACACAATCAAATTAAAGACAAGGAAAGGTATTTGAGTAAAGCACCCAAGTCGACATCTGATTATGGAATTTCTGCTGACTATTAAGTCGAGATCCACTGCTCATCCTTTCAAAATTTGGTATAAATTTCAAAATTTTGGTCTGAACTTTCGAGTTTTGATGTTAAACAAGTTAAGAATCAACTTCAAAGTTCTCATAGCGACATCGAACTTCATAACAAGTATTAATTTGCTAAAAGATCTGTGTCGAAATGCATTTGAAAGGAAGTAGGTTTAACATCAAAATTAGAAACACAGAATGCCTCTCAGCTTCTGGATTCATAAACAAGTTACCCCCAATTGCTACAACAGAAGTAGAACGCTTAAAACTAGTCATCAACGGCGACGACGCAAGCAATAAGTAACCGACTTTGGATGATCACAAGTGATGCAAATGAGACACAAGAAAAGGAAGCGAAATCAAATCAGAGACGATAAAACCTCGTTGAACCACATGGTAAGTCTCCTCCACAAGTGTTTTTGCAACGGCAACCTGAAATGCGAATTATAACAATCCAAATTAGAACTACCAAGACCTAATTTGGAGACAGAAAGCACAAACAGTGAATAGATAGTTAATTAGGGGAAATGATAATGAATACGAACAGTTCCGATCTTCAAGAAGCCATCGACGGTGTGATTGAGGAGGGGATTTCCCGTGTCGATGACGACGTCGACCTTGGGAGAAGATAATGAACCTGCGAAGGTCTTGCTCGGCATCTTCAGTTGTTGGATTTCTGTAGCACACAGTAACGGTTTGTAGTTTGTACCTTTGATTCGATTTGCCGCGAGGATTTAAGAGTAAATCATACACAATTTGTCATGTACTCACGTTACTTGTGCACCACAAAATCTACCACTTTATTAGCTGTATTGAATATAGATGAAGTTTTATTTAAAGTGTGAATTCATTAAAATTGTAAATTTCGTCGACATGGCCTAGATTCGTATCAAAGAGAAATTATTTATACTAAATCGTTTTGTTTTTCTTGGTTTATTCTATTATATAGGTAGTTTGATTTAAGCTGAATAAATACACTGCAATTATAGTTACATATTAACTCTAGTATTGAGCGAAATCGACATGAGTCTCATATTTTGTATGAATTTAAATTTGGATCGTTTATAATAATATAGAGTTAGATAAAACTTCTTTTTGTTATTTTCAATTTAAGAAAATAATCTCAAACACATAGGATCACTCACAAAACATTATAAAAAACTATATATTATTATAGGTATGTTGGAAATTTAATATATATATATATATATATATATATATATATATATATATATATATATATATATATATATATATATATATGTTGTATATATAATTAACTCTAAGTGGGTTTGTGTTCTACTCCGTGGGAGAGTCAAAACGATATATCGTATGTCCAAAATGAAGTATATGTGAATAAGATATCGATACTCAAAGTTGGGTATTTGAGAATAAAAGTTAGCAAGTAAAGTGGGTGTGAGAATGAATCCCACATTGGGAGAAAGACCATACTCTAGTGTGGTTATAAGCTTGAATGTATGATAGACTTACAAGCTTGTACATGTGGTTTTACTCCAACTACTACCCGCATGCAGGGGGGTGCGAATCTTGGATTATGTAGGCCAAATTCACCGAACTTGTGTGTGAGCGTGACCTGCAGACATGAATGCAGCTCTGAAAACTCGGCGAATTTGTTAAGGGAAAAGTTAGATCAGATTTAGGTTTAACATTTCTTGATGTTTCTGAGGTTCTTATGGCATAAAAATCTAATCTTGATGGTTATATTCCTTCAATGCATGGATCGTTGGTCATTTTGTGAAGGTTTGGAACTAGGGTTTGTGCCGATCTGAGAATTGGACAAATGGTATTAATATAAATTTTGGTAGCTACTTGAGTACGCATGGTGTGCGTACTCCTAGAGTACATAACGCGTAATGGGTTTGTTCCGTTTTCTCTTCTGTGGAAACATCGTGCATGGGGCGTACTTATGGTGTACGCATGGCGTACTCCCAAGAGGAAAAATATGTCATTTGGGGCTTTCGGCCAAGTTGGGTGGGTTTAGCCTTGGAAGGGTAAAATGGTATTTTACGGTTTTACCCTTAGTGAAAGAGAATATGAAATGGACCTTGATGATGGGTTATTACTCTAATTATTGATTAGGGTTGGTTTTGATTGGTTCAGTGTGAGGAGCTTTCGTAGCAGCAGCGTGTGTGTGAGTTTTGGCTATCTTCGGATTGAGGTGCATCTCCTTATTGTACTTGTGGGTCGAATGCACCAATGTCGGTCCATTGGGTAAATGAAAATAGTGTTGAACCTGTAGATTGATGCATATAGTTTGTTGTGCGTTCTTGCGTAAATGCATTCTCGACATCTAGCATATGAATGAACATATCTTAGACAATTCACTATTGAACACCAACTTAATTGTTGTTGATTAGAATATCGGGATAAACATACTACTACAAAAATGTCATAGGAACCCCAAATATAATATGTTTTAGCAAATTTTAGTGAAAATTTAAGGGTTTTTTTTTTTTTTTTTTTTTTTTTTTTGCATAGGTGAAAGTTAATAATATTTGGATCTAAATAAAAACATAGATCATACCATAATATAAAACCTCATTTAAATTGTCAACTATAACTGCTTTAAAATATAAAATTGGATCCACTTACTTAAGCACAAAATTAGACTTTACTTACTAGCCGGTTTTTATGACATGCTTTTTAAGGTTTAATAAGATTCGGACATTCGCTTCTAAAAACATAATTAGATCCCCATGACGCAAATATAGGATCTAGTTCTACTTAGTTTCATGTTCAAATTTTGGTCGTATTAAGAGCTTAATGGACTTAGGGTTTAAGATTTTGCCATGGAGTTGAGTCCTACTGGATAAAGTTAGAAACTTTATCCATTAAGTCATTGAGAAGAAGTAGATCTAGAAGTATGAGCATTGATCTGTAAGGATTAAGCATTTAATGGAGATTTTTTGGCATTTTTCTAGTAGCCACGACATGGCCAATGGATAGCCACGGAGTGGCGAAGTTTAGATTTATGACTGATTCATCATG